CTGTGTTCTCAAATTGCTGGCGCGTCCACGAGATGCGCGTGCCTGGTTGTAGGAAAAGAAAGACGGCGTGGGAAAAGGGACTCACGCACGTTTCGCCTGTGTGGCGTTTGAGTATAGCCTGTCTGGCATGTGAATTCCTAATGTATGTCTCGTGCGCTTCGAAAGCGCTGCGAAGACAACACCTAAGCGCCGAAACATGCGTCCGTGAGCCATCCTGCTCAGACTCACTCGCTGGATTTTGTGCCGACCAGTTGTGCCCCCGCGATTTCTGACGACAGCGCAGCTCTGGCCGACTGGGCTTGCCCTACGCCATATCCTGACGCCGACAAGAGCTCTCGCCGAGTAGTGCTCCGACCACGGACTCCTGCGACCGTGTGCATCTTTCCTATCTCCTCTTTACTTCCGTCGTTTTCTGTCGTGTGATGTACCTGCGCCTCGCTCCTTCCTCTGTCTATCTGTCTCTTTACCTTTTAATCCCTCGCCCCGCCGCTGTGGTCTAGTGGCTAAGGTACTCGGCTGCTGACCCGCAGGTCACGGGTTCGAATCCCGGCTGCGGCGGCTGCATTTCCGATGGAGGTGGAAATGTTGTAGGCCCGTGTGCTCAGATTTGGGTGCACGTTAAAGAACCCCAGGTGGTTGAAATTTCCGGAGCCCTCCACTACGGCGTCTCTCATAACCAACCATATGGTGGTTTCGGGACGTTAAACCCCACATATCAATCAATCATCACCTTTTAATCCCTCATTTAAACCCATCGCTCGTAAGCTACTGTTGAGGTGTCCTCCTCCTAAGAGACAGTTACGGGGCTCACTCTTCTTTTCTTTTCATTTAAATTCACTGACACTCACATCCTGCTCAATCAAATCAATTTCGTGATGGATGTCGTAGGCGGGGTCGAGTGTACAAATCTCTTTCCACGAGCATTTGAGAATTTTTATTTATATCTACTACTCAAGAGTAAAAAAATTGTTTAAGTCCGCGCTGGTAATGTTAACACTGTGTCCTATAGATGTTCTTTGTAATCAGTCCTTCGTAACGTTGCCTTATCGCAAGTGCATCACCAATGCAACATGAACCAAGCTGCACCTTCGTCTTATTGCTGAAAATGTAGAAGCATCATACTAAGAAAGCGACAGACGGCTGCATTAGTCAATCATCTGTTTCATTGAGTCATCAAAAAGCCACCTTCCTGAAAAGTACTTAAGTTGTGCTCCAAAATCTATTATGGGAGCCGATAGATGGAAACACGTAGTGTGATGGTCAGGTGCCTCAGATAGGCTGGCGGACGCTTCGATAGGAGAACCTATCTTCGTCAAAGGCACCTTGTCATCATTTGCCTGTTAGTTTTAAGAGGGTTAGTAGTGACGTCATCTTCTGAGGGTGGCGTGTGTTCCTCTTGGCAATCGCCGTCTGGAAAGAGAAAAAAACTATACAGCAGAGGAGTGCTGCTCTCGCTTCATTTCAAGTTAAAAAGTGCTCTTTGAAGGTGGGGAGAAAAGAGAAAAAGAGGAAAGGAGGAAAAAAGGTAAAAAAAAAGGAAGAAGAAACACGCAAACTAGGAGGGGTGTGCTGCAAAGTAGTGTCCGCTATAGACCCAAAAAAAAAAGAGAGACTTCAAAATTCGAAGCCTGCAGACGGTCACCGCGCCCGGACACTACAAAGGGTTGCCGAGGATAGCGGCTTACGCCTGTTCCCGAACAGCTATGAGTGGTACTAATAGCAAGGAAGTGGTTACAAAAAAAAGGGGTGCGGGGGGGGTAGAATCGGGTGGCATGCTTTTAGATGCCAAGATATCGAAGGTAAGTGATGCCGGATGGGGTTGGAAGAGCACGTGTTTAATGCGGATGGTCACTGGCGAAAACATGCTTTCAGTATCCTCGTAGGTGGCCCGCTCAGTGGAATCACCTAAAGAATTTGGCGGCATGTTGGCTAAGAAAAGGGGAAATTGAGAATGCAACGGAAATGAGCAACGACGAAAGAAACACAAGAAGAAAAAAAGATAAAAAGGGAAAGGAAGAGGTGGGGGGGGGGGGTAGGTGGGCTAACAAACGGGGAAAAAAAAGGGGGGGGGGGGTGGACGCATAGAACTTTCTGGGTTGGCAATAACCTTAACGATGCGCGGCAGGAGTGGTTTTAGAAGCGAGGAAAGAGGAAAGAAAGCAGTGGTTGAAAAGTTCTAGAAAATAAAACTTCGTAGTTGTATGTAGACACAAGCATATCTATATTTGAAATTGACAAATTGAAACAGAATACTAATAGTACGATATGTTGGCTAGGAGAGATTTCATGTAATACCTGTTATATCTATTTGAAGGCTGAACGTATCTTGTTTTGTTTTTGTTTTGAATATTGCCGCAATTATGCTATGGCTTTCGGTGATTCCAAATTGCGACGTTCTACATTGATTCCTGATAAATATAGCGACCTAAATTTGTGCATCAAATATGATTCCGGGTATTTCCTTTTTCGTGCTGACCGGAAATTAGTTTGTAGAACTTAAAGCTGGGCTTGGAGAAAATTGTGGTCCTGCTGATTGAAGTGACCAGCTACGGCTTTTCGTAAATTGTGCGTTGTGTCTTCACGGTGGCCGTTCAGTGTTACGTGCATTGCCTGCCCAGTTTCGCCTATATATAGTTTTCTACAAGTGGCACACTCAAGACAGTATATTAGGTTGTTTGAAGTACAGCTGAAGCTCGATGTCACCTTGTGAATGTAATCAGATGTCGTGCTTTTTATGGTGGTAGCCAGCTGTATATGTTTGCAGACGGAGAATCTGCGCCGGCCACAGGGACCAGACGTTGTCCTAGTCTTTGCTTCAAGTTTTGCGTGAACAAGCATGTCTTTGAAGTTAGCGTTGCGTCTTTAGGCGACCTTAGGTGGTTCGGGAAAGATTTCTTAAGTTTTTGGATGGTTGTTAGAATTTAATGGAATTTTGTGAGGATGTTGTTTATCATCGGGAGTGTATTAGAAAACTTTGTAGTGAAAAGAGGCGTAGTTGCTTTTGGTGTGCTTTCAAAGCGTGGTTTCAGTGCTTCATTGAGGTTCAGTTCCAGTGCGTCCGTATAGGCTTTGTCAAGGAGTGTGTTAGAATGGTTTCTTTCTGATAGTGCTTTTTAGGGCGGTAAGTCTGTTTACGTAATCCTTGTTTTCTATGCATATGCGGCGGAACCTTGCTGCCTGACTCTTGAGAATACCCGGTTTACAGTGTCTTGGGTGGTGGCTTCTATAATCTAAGTATTGTTGCTTGTCAAACGGTTTTTATACAGAGTTGTTTTTAGTACACAATATTTGGGATAAATGGTCGTGTCTAAAAAGTTTTTCATTTATTTTATTTATTTATTTATTTCGAACACAAAACAGTTGGTGGTTCCCCAGGCAAAAAAAAAACGCTGTTGCGCTGAGCCGAGGTATCAGAGTTGAACCTCATTGTTGTATGAAATGAGTTTAGGAATGAAGTGTCTTTATCTAGGTTGTGCTGCCCATGTCCCCATATTGTAAATATGCCATCTATGTATCGAAGGTATGTGCGAGGTTCGTTCTCACACTGAGACAGGAATTCGGTTTCTAGAATCCCCATGAATATATTTGCGTAGGTGGGAGCAAATGGGGTACCCATGCTTGTTCCCTATATTTGTAGGTAGTAGTATTTCTTAATTCGAAGTAGTTATGGGACAGTACTAATTCTAGTAGTGTTAAATATGCTTCAGTACATTGTTGTGCGATCTGTCGGGATAATGTTAGCTCAACTGCAGCTAAACCCTCGGGGATAGGTATGTTCGTATATAAAGCGGGAACATCTAGTGTGATGAGAATGGCGTCTTGCGGTAGCGTACCGTTCTCATTAATTTCCGATAATATTCTCCGTTAAACTGCTAACGAGTATAATAGAGGAAATGCTAGCATTTCATTTTTGTCAGCTTTCAATAAGTAAAAAAAACATCATGATAAAAACAATGTTCTACCTCAGGGCAGTATTTCGTTTTATTGTGGTTGTGACCGACATTCAAATGAAGGGCACGTCACTTTCGCATGAATATGTTTCGCATGAATCGTTGCGTGTACTGTCGCGGGTTATTGCACACACCAGCTGCGCCTGTTCTGCAGTCGCGGGCCACGTCAATGACGTACCTGCTGTGAGACTGCCTAAAAAACAAAAAAACACACAAACAAAACATTGAATAAAAATTCTTGCTCATTGTTAACTTCATAGTCTTTGACGGAGCATCGATGCACGCTTGGGACGCACAACTGCCTGTCACCTGACTGGCGCAGTTCTTGAACTAGTGCAATAAGTTGCTACTAATGGCGATATGCATTTTCAACGTCAGCACCGACTAAAGTTAAAACTAAGTTTGCTTTACGCGTTCAACTTTCCCCGTGCTTTACACGTGTGACAGCGCCTCGTTCTGGCTAACGATAAGTGTGGTTACCTCCACTAACTGCGGTTGGGCATAAAAGCGGTTAAGCTCAATTGCGTGACAAGAGTCTTTACAGATGCCTGATATCGCCTGAGTGTGCACAAAATTGAAATTTGTTTGATAAGTTTGCATTGGCTGTTGATTCATTTCTGCGTGACTAAAGTGGGCGCGGATGCATATATATGAAGTATTTTTTCTAATTAAGAATGTAGCCAGTGTGTCCTTCTTGTCTCCTTGGTCCACGTCCAAAGACCACTAATTTGCCGTTCTATATGCATATATATGAAGTATTTTTCTAATTGAGAATGTAGCCAGTGTGCCCTTCTTGTCTCCTTGGTCCAAGTCCAAAGACCACTAATTTGCCGTTCTATATATTCGCATTGCAGGTTAGGTATGCGTGATTTGGTCGAATCTGAGAGGTGAACCTTTATTTCAAGAAAAGAACGTATTTTACACTAAACGAACAAATGCGAGATGCACGTTATTTAACAAGACCGTTTCGTGAAGAGACAAAACGGAGTGAATGCAGTTGGCTCAACCAAACACATCCGATCATCTCTTTATTTGTCGTTCTTTTTACAGGCTACTTCCGAGATGTAGGAGGAAGCTACGACGGTCTCTACCAGCTTCAAGCTGGTATACACTGTTTCGTCGGCGGCCTGTTTGGACTACTGTCCGTTTTAGACCGAAGGCGGCAGAAAAAGTGGACGACAACTCGGACAGATTAAGCGGCTGGCATTGATCTGCTGCTCTGTAAATTACTGTAACTCATTCTAGTACTTTTAATTGTATCTTTTATTCGAGAACAATGTTTGCCATTAAAGCTTCTCATTGTCGTGCTGTGATGTTCGTTTGAAGATTACCACAACGTACATGCCAAGCTTTCTAATTTAGGCAGGCGAAGTGACAAACATGGTACGATGCCAGGTAAAGATGATGGGTCAGTAGAGAAGCTATGAAGTGGCTCAAACTGTTGCTTTGATTGATCGCGAAAGTTATGCAGAGTTCGTCCTGGCAGCGTACTGCTGTCTGTGTTGCTGTTGAATTTTGATTGAAGGAGCTTCGCAACACCTTAGATATATCTCCAGAATAGGAAGCTGCCCACCTTCGTACTTAGGTTGAATATTTTCAACGAAGTCGCAACGTTTGTTTGAAATTCATGCTGTGCATGTTTATATGCGAAGAATATTTCTCCAAAATCTTTAAAATATCGTGGGCAAGCAACAATATTTTCTATGTGTTGTCACCATATGTCTGAATTCATTTCCAAAAACCGTGAGGGCAAATGCATACTCGCATAAAATGTTTCGCTAATCTTTTCTATTATTTTTCACCGACGCGAAAAAAAAAGTCAGAGCAGCGCACGCTAGTTAGAGAGTTGGCCTACAGTGCATGTGTTCCGTTACTGAGCAAAAATATTCTTTCAGGTCGTTGTCTGAACGTTAGCATCCGGTGCTTCGACACCTTTATTTGAGCAACGGTACAGATCAGTGCGCCATTTAAGCGCATGGATGGTAAGCTTTTTGTCTTGCTTATATCTAACGGTTCGCACCTAGAAAATTCATCCATCACCTTAGCGAGTTTACATAATTTCAAAATGAATGAAAATTTGCTAATTTGCTCAATGCGAAGCTGCTTCCCTCTGTTCTTTCTTTCTTCCAAGCGAGTATGATTTCCAGAAGGGCCTTTCATATGACACTCTAAAGGCTTTACTCGTTAACGACAGTAGTTTAAACTTGAAAGTAACGCTCCTGTTGGCTTTCTTTTTTCTCGTCATTGACCGTGCATCGTCGATCCGAGGGAGGGCATAAACATCCTTGCGCGTTATTTTGTTTAGCGCACGGTAATCGACGCAGAAACGCACTGTCCCATTTTTATTTTGAACGAGAACAACTGGGGATGACCAGGGACTCGAGGAAGGACGTATGATGTTGCGTCGTAGCATGTCTGAGACGGTTTCCTCGATGATCTTGCGTTCTGCCTGAGACACGCGATATGGACGCCAATGTACAATACGAGAGCCGTCAGTCTGGATGCTGTGAGTAGCGGTGGTAGTCATGCTGAGGGCGGGCGAGTTCACGTCAAATAGAGAATGGTGTCTATTTAACAGGGCGAGCAAATCTTCAGTTTGATCAGGTGTTAAGTCATTGCTTATTGTTGCGGACACAGGTGTGGCAGAGGCATTGAATGGCAGTGATTGTGACTTCGTAACATCGTGTGGTTGTTGTTCGGAAGAGTAACAATTGCAACAGGCTCACTGTCGACCACACAAGATAGTTTTGAGCCACAGGGGAGCAGTGCACACTTGGGCGTTTGATTTATGGCGGTTAGGTACGTAGACCCATCGAAGAAGCGAATAAGCCCTGGTGTGATCACAATACCCCTACGTAGGGTATGACCGTAAGAGAGAATTAGTACGTCGCCATCCACAATGTCGGTGCAATTAACACTTATAATTTCTTCGATGTATGGCCGAAGTACATAATCTGACTTGGTGACAAGGCCGATGCGTCTATCGTGTTCAAGCGGAGAAGAGTCAGTGGCATTTAGATGCAGGAGGCGCTGATGACATGATATGAAAGCGGACGCAGAAGACAAGAAATCCCACCCAAGAATGAGAGCGTGGGTGCACTCACGAAATACCGCGAAAACAATGTGATGACGAATGCCTTCTATGCAGACACGAACGGTACACTGTGCAAGTGGACGAATGAGAGCGTTGGTCGCTGCACGTAGAGGTGGGCCGCCATAAGGTGTGGTGACTTTTCGAAGGCGGGAACAAAAATCAGCACGAATAATCGAAACGGCAGCGCCACTGTCTACAAGAGCCTCAACACGTACACCTTCTACAAACACTACTATCAAATTCGATGGTCGCTCTGGAGGAATTGTTAGCTGTCCAAGGGATACAGTTTCCCCTCCTAAAACTGCATCGGGGAGTTTTCCGCGTGGGCGTTCGTGGAATGGGAGGCGGGCCGTAGAGGCGACACTGAACGGCGACCTGGCGAAGGCGACCTGCGGCGAGACGTACGGGAATTCCCAGGCATGTCCGTATGGTAAGTAGGTGACGGTGAACGGTAATAGGACGATCGGGGGGGGGGGGGGGGGGGGTGGCCGTAAGTAGTTCATGGTCGGACGGAAGCTCCGATGTTCATCGGGAGCGTAGCCGCGTTGCTCGTCTTGTTGGCGCCTTCGACAAAACCGAGCGATATGTCCTCGATAGCCGCAGTAGTAACAGATTGGTCGAGGTGGGCGCTGAGGTGCGTAGTAAGGTGGTGCACGCGCTGGCGGTGACAACGAAGCCACAGGCGTATGGTCTGCTGTTGTAGGCACAGAAACGGTGGGTGCGGCAGAGAGCGCGGCAACTTCGGCGTACGTGCGCGTCTGGCGCACGCAGGGACTGTTGGAACACGTCGCACGCGATGCGGAGGCGATCTCTTGTTTAATCAGGTCTCGCAAGCTATCTTTTTCAGAATGGAAAGTAACTTCCGCAGCGCAGGAAGAGCAGCGCCTGTGCAGCTCTTCACGAACGATGTCTCGGATAAGCGCACGCAAGTCGAGGGGGGCAGGCAAACGAACGTCGATGGCATCGTAGCAAAGGCGAAGAGACTGAAGCTCGTCAAGTCGCTGACAGATGGTTATCACGTCCTGGGTGGTGGCAGGATTTTGCGTGGCGAGGGCGTTAAAGGCGACGGTGTTAATGCCTTTAATAATGTGGCGTATTTGGTCGTTCTGAGACATGCCGGTGTTAACGCGCTTGCACAGTGCAAAGACATACTCAATATAGGAGGTGTAAGATTCACCCGGCAGCTGCGTGCGTTGAGCGAGTTTCTTCTTTGCTGCTCAGTGCGAACTGCAGGGGCACCAAATATCTGACGAATTTGCTGCTCGAAAGTGTCCCAGTCGGGAAGATCCGGGTGGTGGTTCCAGAACCAAGTTTTCGCAACATCGGACAAGTAAAATGGGACGCTGCGCAACTTCTGTGGATTGTCCCACCTGTTCAAATCGCTGACGAGGTCGTAGTTCTTGATCCAGTCTTCGACATCATCGCCTCGGAGACCAGAAAACACAGGTGGATCACGCAGGCGAGTGTTGTTGGGCGGAGCGGGTGGCGGTGGCTGCAGTAGGACGGCGACGTTGGATGGGCCAGTGTTTTCTTGGACCGCCATGACAGGGGGTTGTGTGCGACGACCCGAGCGGAGCTCCAGCGAGAACGGGCGAGAGGACTTGAGGGAACGAAAAGCACAGTCCACCACTTGTGAGGAACCGGTTTATGCAGCCAGGCTCGAGCTAAATCACGCTGGTGATGATGTTTTCAGATGAAGATGTACAGGTGATGATGATATCAAAGAGAATAAAGAGTCATTCGCTTGTCGCGCTCACAATATTTTGAAAAGGCTTTAATTAAGACACCGCTTAGCCACGTATATTGCTGTAACTTTTGCTCTTAAACCATCATTATATGCCTTTTGACTGAGTGCGTGAGCATCCGTCAGCGATTTGTGCTGATAGACGCTGCTCTCTCCTCTCATCCATTACAACCACAGTCCTTCAGGACACGGACAGCAGTCTTCTTCCCGTTCTCAAGAACGTCTACAATCTTCCGAGTTAAATTTTTTCAGAATGCAGCTGTTTGCAGATGACTGCGTACTTTCCCGCACTATTAACAAAAGTAACGTTGTTTAAACCCACAATCTGACCTCCGTCAAATCAACGCTTGGTGCCACAATCGGTTGATGTCATTAAACGCAAAAAACGTTCTTTTAGTTTTCATCGCAAAAAGTCTTGCGCTACTAGCCGATTGCTTGATACGTGGCTCTGTAATATTCTCTGTTAAATGCGGCAGCTACGCAGGAGTTATTACAACTGCTGGTTTATCATGGCACCCATACATAGCCAGCTTTACAAGCGCTGTCGATCGCTTTATTGGTTTCTTACACCTGATGGCGTGATCGTCAGCTTTGACGCGGAAAGGGCAGGCGTTCAGCTGTCTGTGTATGTACGTAAAGGACCGTCCAAAGTTCTCAAGTCGTGATCTCATGTACGTCTATGACAGCGTGGCCTGAAAAATTTTGACGGTCCCTGCACAAGCATTCGTATATATGTGCATGTATTCAAAACTGCAAAACTGAAATATTTTAGAAGGGGGTCTATCACGCCTCCTGTTTACTAAAGTGCTGAAGTGACCACCCTGCTCTGCCAAACTTCAAACCTACTATTCTTTAGCCATACCGGGCTTTGTATGTTCATGCACTTCACGGTACCCTTACCCACTTAGCACACTACATGCTTGAATTTTCGCAGACATATGCCATTCTCATTTTTTTTCGGGTATCTCTACACCTTCAGCTCAGCGAAACGAAACTTCGTGTCAACTTTGCCCAACTCGTATCACGCCGTCAAGTCACTCGTCTTTCCCTCCTCAGCCAATTATGCTATATACAAGTCAGTCGAAAGATACCTCATTGTTCCTGCGAATCGCCAATCAAGCTATTCTCTTCCCCTTGAGTTTCCTCAAACTCGTGCTGCTTTCCATGCCTCCTGATTCTTCATACAGACATCAAAAAGCCGGAATGTACTCCCCACCAAGGCATGATTCAATATGACTCAACCGTCTTCAAATACGGCAAGACCTTTTGCAGTAGATTATGCCCACTCATGTGAAACCCAATACCTCAGTGGCCTTTGACGTATTAGAAATAAATGAAGTAATTATGGTGATGCTCGTTGAGATCGTTTAGGACATTATACGGAGTACATTGTCAAAGTTGCTGTTAATGTAAGCATTCATATTTATAATGAATATGCGTATTCCAAGTCAGAAATGTTAGCACTTAGCAGG